CTCACTCACACTCACTCACTCTCCTCTCACTCACACTCACTCACTCTCCTCTCACTCAAACACCATACACGCCCCCACGCACGCACCCCCACCCAACTCACACTCACCCCCACACGTACGCACCACACGCTTACACTCTCACATACACACCACAACGCCCAAACCAATCTCACAGACGCAATGTGTCCGTCATGTGCTTTTCCACTGGCTGCTTGGCCGCCTTCTGTACATCGGATGTCCGGGGTGTCCTCGGTCGCCAACGGGTGAACCCCTAGTGGCTTCACGCAGGGGATTTCGGAGCGCGGATGATTGCTGCTGGCCCAGAAAAATCTGGCGGCGCTACAGAATGACACGGACTGTCTTGCTCTAGTTAGATTTTAAATCTCTGTAGTTTAGAGCTTCCCCTGCTCCGAGATCGTACCTGTCTGCGCATAAATACATTTTTTCGCGTTTTCTCACTTTTAGGCCCGCTAATAGTATGACTTAAGAATGTTATAGCCGAGCAAAATATAATCCTATATGTTAATTTTTCACAGATAAAGTTAGCCCGTTCTTGAGAAAATGTCTGAAAATGCACGTTTTTGACCTCATTTTCACAGAAAAGGTTACGAGAAACTTCTTAAAAATCATTTGAATCCCTTGTGCTCACAAATGCAAAAATGAATTAATAAATCCGTCATGTAAATATTAACGACGTTAAAACAATGAATTTCTGTCTATTATTAAAAAAAATTCAAAGGAATATATCACAATGGCGTTTATGTCATGTGTGTGCATTACCACAATTCGTACGAAAACTTTAAAGAAAAAAATCGACGCGTTTGTGAGAAAATCTTGTTTTTAAATTGTCCTTATTTCTCGCAAAATGACTCGAAAACTATTCATATTTTGGAAACATTTGTACTTGACCTCATTTTAAGATCTACTTTTGAAGAACAGGTTTCCCTCAGAAGAAAACTCTCAAAAAATTTCTTCGCAATTTTTTTCTTTTTCATATTGTAGTTATAGGAAGACAACGAAAGTTTTTTAAACGTTTGCGATTATTCAGTGATTTCAACAAAAAATAGGACCTTCGGCAATATTTTAAGAGTCTAACTACCAAGAAAACATTAGGGTTTTCAAGTGTTCTCGTAGCCCAGATAGGGCCACTGAATTTCAGAGGAGCCAAAAGCGGAGGAGTCTGTTTAAAACCAACTATGAAGTCGCGGTCCATTGTTAATGTGTCTTCGAGGATACGCGCAAATTTCTCTTTCACGTGCGGCAATCATAGAGAGCATCGGCCGTGAAATTGCGCACGCAGTCGTATGGCACTAATGCCCCAAATTCGCGTGTGTGTATGGTTAAAGCTCAGGGTGACAGATAGGAGAACCAAGAGTGCCCAAATAATTTTGGCTCTGAACAATTCGACGTGCAATGTACCAAAATTACCATGCATCTACCACTTTCGTAATGGTAGTATTTCACACAGGTCGTCAACCGGCTAATGCTTACCGATGTTTAGCGTTTCGCCGCACTGTCTCCTGACCGTGCATTCTTCTTGTAACGTGAATGTTCTCCCGGTGCATTCGCAATGTTAACCACTAAAAAACAACAACGACAACAGCATGAACAACAACAATCGACTCGTAATTGAAACTCTTTCTGGTGCCTTGTTTGTGTCGACGGCGTTGCTTTGAAACCGTGAAATGGCAACTACGTGGAAGCCATTGAAATGGTTCGATTTATGACTCGACACTTGCCCGCGGATATGAAGCAATGAACCCCTGTGATTATTGGATGCTTTATATGTACTATTTAATTTACTGGAGGATATGAAATGTATTGTCAAATGTATTGATGTGTTCCTGTTATCACTTGCCCACATTTTTTCTCCAATTGGAGTCGTGATTCACATGTTCGAAGTGGAAGAATTGTGAGATTCTTTCACTTTGGAAGATGTGCCGTTTGGTGGGAACAGGGGATCAGTCCATCGTCCTGCTCGAAGATAAGTAGGGAGAAGTTAAAGGAGGAGTTCCACGCCGCTCTGTTTAAGGCTCCACTTCGTGACCTGCTTGAAATTGATAGGAGGAAACCACAGAAACAACCAATCAGAGCCAGTCGACTTGAAGATTCACAGTCAGCCAGCACGTGAGTCGATCCAGCAACGTAACTGTTGTCGAATTCAAACTGAGGAACTAGGAAGTAATCTACGAAGCTTCCGATGCGCGGGAGTTATCTTGTTATCTCGTATCCTGTTATCTCTTGAACTAAATTTATACTCGGCAATAAATTCTGCTCTAAGATTCTTGTGAAAGTCTAATGCGCCGGAAAATATTGAAAAACAAAACATTCACAGTTGCCACAGCGGAGAATTGCAGACATTAAAATGAAATAAATGAATCAGGTGCTCTGCTCCTCTCCCACAATAGAGACCTCTTGACCTAACTCACCTGTGAGCAACTAATGCTATCGCTCATTCAGCTCCTCTCTGCAGAACTTGTTTACATTCGACGTAAAAGAGCGAATTCCGCGAATTCCAAAGCTCTTCGTACTGAACGCACGTAACCAAACAAGCCGTGTTCATCTCATCGCATGCACTGCCCCCTTCAGTGATTAATACGTGAGATACCTCCAGCGCTCCCCTTTTCTCTCTCTCTCTCCGCCCTCCACCCTTTGTTGTGCGCCGCGCCGCTCTCGGCTGTTTCTCGTCGAATTACCGACGCGCGTCCACGAGCAGATAATCGCCACTTTATTACGCGAACTAGGGGGAGGGGGAGGGATCGACTGTCAGACCGAATGGAGAGAGCACGGCGGCCGAGCTTTTGTGATTCGGGAAGAGGAATAGCGCCGGAATATTTAACGAGCAGAACAATGGGACTGACCTAACCGCACGTGCGAACGTGAGGCTGCGCTGCTGAAAACGCGGAAAAGTTATGAGATATGCGTTGTTTTTTTGTCGCTTTAGGCCCTAGATGTCAAACCCTGACGTGCAAGATTTTGAACAATTGCAATATAGTTAGGCCGAATTCAGCTGCTGTCTGCAGGAGAATTCTAACGGTCGGCTGCTCTGATCGGTAGTTTTCCATGGTTCCGATCAGTAACTGTCGAGTACCGGAGCAATCGGACTACGGACCTCGCACGATCTTTCCTTCCTCTTCCTTGACCTGCCATCTCCCTTTAAACAAACTCGCGCACTTACATGCACTACACTACCACATGTGTCTGGAGCTTAGAGCTTGTCCCGATTGGGGCGGTGTCCCGTTGGAAGAGATATCAGGTAAGGGAAATCCCCCTCGTAAGCCGACCCATAAGTTGACGCTGGATCTCACCCTCCAGAGGGAAAGGACTCACCGGCACCCTCCTCCTCTAATGGGACTAATGACCATAGTTGACGTACTAGGAAAGATCAATCAATCAATCAATCAATCAATCATGGACGGGATTAATCAGTGAAGCGTGCTCTCATAAAATTATATGAGATGAGTTTAATGTGATTACTTTTTGTTATTCTGTACTTTACCTACCCTCGATTTACTCTTTCCATTTGTTAATGCAAAACATTAAAAGTATTAAATGTTCTGAAAATCTTGTGTGTGTTGCATTTGGTATATTATTGAATTGTCACACCTTCTGAAGTGGTAGTTTTATATCAACTGAACAGAATTATATTTTCAGAGAGTATTTTCGGAATACATTTCATTTTAAGAATAATATTCATTGCTATTTCTGAGTGTAATAAAGATGCAAAGGAATTACTTAGTAGCCCAATTTTATTTCGTCGCTCTCCCCAACAAAAAAGTCTTTCTCGACGTACTCGGATGCACTCAACGTGTGCATATGTGTGCGAGTTAGTCGTTCATGGGTTTAGTAGTCGTTTGTTGACTTCCAAAAGAACAGAGAGGGCTGCGAAAAAGCTATTTGTTCCTGTCATTGATCAAAGCTCGAATGGGCATGGCCGTGAAAATTGAAGTCCCCACGCATTCTAGTTTCCATAAAGTTGCTGTTCAAACGATACTGCGAACGGTCAGACTATAATAACTGGGAGATTAATATAAGTAGTTTAACGTTTTGTGAACTTGCAGTTCACATTACGAACTCCATTCCCATTCGTATTTGTGAACTCCCTTCGTAGTCGGAGAAATGGATTCGACAGAATTATAGTCCATTTCTGTGGTATAATTTAATGATATGAAAGTGTTTTATCAATTAACTGCTCATTTTAAAAGAGACATTTCAAAAGATCATCAATCTCTTCCTGTATTGCCTCGTATTCACTAGTGGTTACCCCTTTTGCGAATTACGAGGTACTAAGTACATTTTATATCTCAGGCAACCACTAAATGTTTAATTGGATTTCCCTGCAACAAGAGTTGCTTTTATAGAGAAAGAGCGTCAGATCAACGAGTGGCAAATTATATATTAATTAGACTTTCGCTTGACTAGTCCTTCGCGTATAACGCGAACAAAAATGTAGATGTAAGTATGTCGACCAAATCAGTTACGCATGATTCGCTATATTATATAGTTTAAACATGCACAAACTTTATATTGATATTGTGTATAATGAATTTAATTAAGTACATATTACATCAAGTAATATTTTTGTATTATGAATAGCCAAAATAAATACCACTTGTGATTTGAAAATTCACACATTCGCCGCGCCACAGCTCGTGGATTTATCAGTGATTTCAAGAGCAATCGTTACGTAAAATAATGTAAAATAGCACCAACGCAATGAAAGAGTAAATGTTTATATCAATTAAGGGAACGCCCTGCAGCAACTGTGAGGCATAGTTTGCCTTGGAGTAGTAGTATATTAGATCGCCAGCATCCGTAGTAATGCCTCTCCGGCGGGCGAGCTTTCTCATTAGTAGGTGGAAGACCCGTCGCCGTCGCCGCTGCCGCCTCCGGCGTGCTCTCCCCACGGGCCCCGCCCACGACTCCACCGCCGCCGCTGCCCCCAATCCCGTACCGCCCTCGCGTACTCGCCTAATTATGCGGTGTGTGTTTGTTGTTGCAGGCGAGCGAGCCAACTATGTCAACAGCCCGCACGTCATCGCCATGGTGGGGCTGCCCGCCCGTGGCAAGACCTACATCTCGAAGAAGCTGTCTCGCTACTTGAACTGGATCGGCATCAACACGAAAGGTGAGCGTCCTGTAGGGAGCGGTTGTGGCGAGTTGGCGATTGGCCACTGCCGGGCGCGAATGCGCGTGGCCTGCACGCAAAAACGTATTTGGATGACGAAACGAGAATTAATTTTCGATAGTTAAACACTGCTCCTACGAAGTTCAAACTTTCTTAACGGCTTTGTTGTTTATGGGATGATTAGTGAGTTTAGATCGGTTTTTAAGTAAACATAAAAGTAACAAACTTGCTATGATTAATGCAGAGTTTTCGACTCTACATGTAGTCTTCTTCGAGGCTTCAAATTAATTGTAGTTTCTTGTAAATACGTGAATATTATATCGTTTAACGTATTAATATCATTTAAATTTGCTTCTCTTCACAATTGTTACTAAACTAGCGTTGATTTCTTTCATTAATTTTGTAACTATTACTTTGATGCTCTGAAGAACGCTCTATAATGGGAAACGCTTAAGTAATCAAATGCATTTACTTGTAAGTTTCGACGTATGTCTGCGTTTCGAGTCGCAGAATAATAAATTTACAAGAGAGGTGCAGAAAAAGCATTCCGAGTGAGATACTCGAGTTTTGAAGGGTCGTGTTGTCGAAGTATTGCAGTATACATATTTTTTCGTCATTCCTAATTTGCAGAAAATTTAAAAGGTTTATTAACTGAAAGAATTCTGGAAGCATTTCTTGGTACAAAAATAATTTCTTGTAAATTAACGCGAAAAAATGTGTGTGCAGCAACATTCACAAGTTTATCATTTTTATTTTAGTTCCATAGATCTCGCAAAACAATAAGAGCTATGGAGATATATGCAGACAACGTCATAGAAACTGTTTGAACAGACCCATAGAAAATGTTTCTTTTATATCGGCAGTGTATCAGAGCGTTCCCATGTTTGTTTGTTTTCATTTCGACAAAGGTACCACGAGATAGAAAAGCCGAAGGGTATCGCGATACTCAAACGGCGAGAATGAACGTTTACTACAACGTTAGCACTCGTTAGGTTTTCTCAACATTTGTATGTATGTTTAACAAACCTATATTGCTAATGGAACACATTACTTACTTAAAACAGTCATTCCTTATCAATACTTGTGGCATGAGAAGTATCGCCTGAGAAAATGAAAAGGGAAGATTTGTGGAGGGATTTTAAGCATTGGCTTAGCAGCATCACATTTTTATTTTTTATTTTGAAGATATGTATTCTTTGCAGAACTGCCCGTTTGTTGCTGATTTTGTGAGATCGATAAATATTTTCCTCACTCTAAATCATAAATATTTAGCTTTCTTTCGTCAATTTTATTCCCAAGAAATGTGAAAGTTCCTCTCGAATTTCAGATTACGAAACTGAGATCTATTTTTAAAAATTGATAAAGTTATTGAAAAAATATTACGTATACTGCGTTTAAACTCGTCTGGCGTAACTCCGATTTACGTCTTTTTCTCGCTTAGTCGAAATACAAATTTATAAACTTTCCTTCAAGTAATTACTGAGGATATCTTAATAAGAAAGTGATTGTTCATATCTTCATGAATTAAATAATGCATATTAAGGGTGTCTATTCCACTCATGAAATTAAAACCAATAGGGTTTAACTACACATACAAAATACCCCAGTCAGGACGGTTTAAATCAAAAAGGTTATCGTTTTTTCTATCCGATTTTTCTTACCGCTTCCCCCTACTGGCCAGTCATAATCTGACTCATCTACTTAAGGAGGCGGTATACATCGATCGCTATGTCGATGTCCAACAAACCGCCTACGCACTATAACATAATCTCTTTGATTTTAACTTATTTTCAATATTTGGCCCACTTAGAATTCTGTTGGACATATTTCATTCGTGGAATAGTCCTATTAAATACCACTCGTGCTTTGGAAATTTTCAGATAAATCCCCTATTCACTTCGCGAGACGGGGATTTATCGACAATTTCCAAAGCACTTGTGGTATTACCAATGAAAATAACCCTAACTTGGTCATGAAAAAACTCCAGTTTGTGGAAAGTAGTTTTATGTTGTGGTTTAATTGCTGTTTCTCTGTTTAATAATGCCATGTTGATTCATTCTCAAACAATAAAAAAGAAAATGTTTCGCAGTGTTTAATCTTGGTGAATACCGACGCCATGCCACCTCTGCATACAAAAGTCATGAATTCTTCCGTCAAGACAACAAAGAAGCCATGGCGATTCGAACCCAGTGCGCCATTGACGCTCTACATGATGTATGCTATTGGTTGGAATGCGGGGGAGAAGTTGCCGTAAGTTCTTTCGTAGTGATTCAGTTCCTCATTTCAAATAGAACGTACTACTTTATAACATCTGTTATTCTATGCGCAGGTATTTGATGCTACAAATTCTACATGGGATCGCAGGCGAATGATTCACGATTTCGTGGTTAAGAAAATGGGATTTAAATTATTCTTTGTTGAATCTGTGTGTGACGATCCTCAAATCATTGAGCAGAACATTATGGTAAGTTTTGTTTGAACTAAGTTGATTGAAGTATAAATTGGAAGTTTAGCAGTCTCTTTATGCTCTTACGGTGACTTTTTTAGGAAGTGAAAGTGAGCAGTCCAGATTACCAGAATATGAATACGGAAACTGCGTTGAATGACTTCCTCCTCCGCATTGAACACTACAAAGAGAAATACCAACCACTGGATGAAACTCAAGAGGCTGACTTAAGCTTCATGAAAATTTACAACACTGGTAAGTCACGTTATTCTCTATTTAAACATTGTCGATTAGGTGTGGTTTGCATTTTTACAGTTCTGAACTGCCGGCAACTTTTGATTCACAGCTCAATTGTAGGGTGTAAAATGCGTGTAAAGCAATCTCTCTGAAACTGTTTAAAAAATTGTATTTTCCTTGCAGAAATTAAAAAAAAATATTCTCGTAAATTAGAATAGAGTGATTCAGTTTCGATTAATAATATTTAGGTTTCAGTCTTTGATAAAATCTTCCGATGTTGAAACAGTTCCAAGGTGTTTGGTATATTATTTATAAAACGTAATAAGCTGTAGATCTAAATATCTTCCGAAATGTGCGAATAAGATGTGTTCGTTGTTTTCAGGAATTCTTTGGCATAATTGTGAAGAGTTAAAAAGATTCCCTTTACGCCTCCCTTTGACGCCTCTGAGCCAAATTCAAATCGCCTGTTTCTCGCCCAAGAAATACCTCCTTTCTCTGCTAGTTGGTGAATGGAGCGTAGCGAAATTTGCGTGGTCAGAAGGAAGAGCAGGCCTAATGGCCTGAGTCTCGCCACCTAAAATGAGGCATTAATTCAATTCAATTCAATTACTCCATGAAATCTGTAAAGCAAAAGCGAGTATCTTTCCTTTTAGGTACTATTTGTAAAACTCTCGTAAACTTAGACATCTTTTGTTTGTCTTTAGTCTCTTCTTGAATCGTGAACTCTGTATTTTAAGTTGCGATTAATGGTTCTACAACACTACATACTTTTTCGTATAATTTGTAACTCTTGTAACTATCGAACATTCAGAAAGTTCAAAGAAAGTTGGACTTGCACCATTTTCTTAAGCATTCTTTGTTCTATCCGAAGAAAGAAATTAATGAAAAAATTGAAGACGTATTTAAGAAAATCTTGTTTTTAAAATCGCCTTTTTCAGAAAAAAATTACGCAAAATTTACTCACATTTTGAACAAACATTTAAATATTTAATTTTGGAGAACTGATTTCATTAAAGAAAAAATATTTTATCTTCAATACTGGAGATGTAGAAAGATGTCGAAAAATATTTTTTTGTTTTGTATTTTCGAAAATTAAAAGAATTCAACGAATATCGGACCTGCGCTGTTAGCATACATTTCTCTCTCTGAGAAAAAAATAAAGGAAAATACGGAGCCGCTTTTAAGAAAATTTTCATTATGTCCTTGAAACTTGTAAAGTATCACTAAAAGCAAAAAGTCCGTTTTAAATTGAAGACGTCTCGACATCAGCCCGCTCGTTCAGGGAATATCAATTTTTGTGAAAATGCGGACGGACGGACAGCCCGATGTTTTCACTCAAACCAATTTTTCGGTATCAATGACATTTTCAAAATTTCTGACTGCACAACTTGTTAGAGAAAGTTTTCAGTCTCATTAGACGTTGAAACAATTTTTTAATGATTTCAGCTTGATACCTTGGAAATTAACCAATATTATTACTTTTAATCATGACGTACGTAGAGAATGTGCCCCCGACACCAATTGATTGAAGTTTGGTATTAGTGTACATTCGCTAATTGATCTCGTAGCCATAAAGAACCTTTATCATTAGCATACAAGAGTCTGGATTTCATTGGACAAAGGTTTCCTAATTTTCTAAAAAGATTTTGTGTAATTTCATGTTGTGCATGACTCCTGTCTCCCTCCTGACTCCCTCCTTTCACCTGCTACCACCATGAAAATATGTGTGGATTTAGCCTTTAACATTAGCATATGTGGTTTTAGCATCATAATATAATAGGCTCCCATTCACAAGAGCCTCGAACCCATTTTCAAAAAGTAAGAGGTAATAAAATGTGGTATTGAAATAATATTTGCATCCAAAATCTCAAGAGTAAAATTTACAAATAGAATAGGTATTAGAGACTTGAGAAGGTATATTGCTTTAGCGTTTAGTGTCATTCAGATGTTGCTCGGGGAGTAATTCAGACTGTTCTGAGTGGGAATGTGCACTTTAGTTCATTCTTCGTATGTAATAGGCATAGGCAAGCGCAGCGTAAAACAAGAGGGTGGCAACTTCTTTTGTGGGCGTCTTTATCCAATTTTCCATTGATTTTTGAAGCGTATTTATGGGCACTCGTTGGAGGAATCAAATTAGATTTGGCTTTTTGAAGGTACTTTCGGAAATTTTTCAACATTTTTGCTATATTTGGCCAGTTTTGGATTTTTGGTCAAGTTTTTAGTAGTTTCTATGTAGAGAGATCGAGCCTAATAAGGCCAGCTTTCAAAAACAGAATCAAAAGTTTAGTCATGTTTTTGCCCCGAATTATTCTATTACACTGTAGGTACACTTTGTAGAAATTCCATTTTTCTTAGTTTTTGGAAGGTTTAACAAATTTTGAGATTGCATGCCACTTGGATACGTAATATATTATATATATTTAAATATGATTCCAAAAAGTTTATAAAATGATGTGTCAAAATGCACTCCATGTAACCAAACTCATTTACTTTTTTTCTTGCTAATTAAAAATGTCCAGATGCATAAGTGTTTCAAATGAAAAATTTAAATAATAGAAAATATAAATTTAATTCAAAATGTACAGTTATTTTGCAATTTTATCAGTTATTTTATCAGGGATTTCACACATTTATAGAAATTTTGCATGAGGGTGCATGGTTCTGGCCCGCCAGCTTTCCGTCTGTACACACCTATGATAATATGTGAAAGGGAATAATACAGAAATTTTAAATTTAATGCTTTTTAAATGTTAACTCTTTGTGCTGCAAATTTGACCTTGTATTAAAAAATATTAATTTTTTAAAAACTTGTGTATTGTTACAGGAGAAAAAGTTGTTGTTCATAAACATGAAGGTCATATCCAGAGTCGTATTGTGTACTACTTGATGAATATCCATATTACACCCCGTACGATTTATCTGTCACGGGTAAGTAGAGTTCTGTTTACTGTTAAAGATGGATTTGTTCTTTTGGGGCTCTCAAACATTATACCTGTGTAAGGACCTCCAAAAGCTTTTAATCTTAAAAAATGGAAAGAGGTTTAAAATAAAACTGCTTACTGAGACATTAAACATTTGTTTTGTGCAAAACAAGAGAAAACAAGGAAGATTCAAACCAAAAATATTAAAATGATATATGAAGCTAATAATGCTAACCTGTATAAATTCAATTTTTTATTTTACTGAAAAAAAAAGAAAGAAAAAAAAATGAAAAAAAAATAATTTTTAGGAACCAAAAGGCTAAATACATAATTTTTTGAAACGTAAAACAAATGGGAAAAAAAATGGAAAAAAAAAGGGGGGGGGGAAACACACACACACACACACAACTCTAGTAAATTTAATATGAAGAAGAGTTGCTTAATATGTACAGTTTAACTAAACACGTGCGTGTTTTAACATTAGAGAGCTGTTTATTTTTAGCCACTTTCCCTTTTATCAAATAGCTGTATGCATAACATTCTGAGTCAAAAGTATTTTATAAAGATAATTTGTATAATTTTGTAAAAGAATTATTGTTTGTAAAAATTGGTAAGTTAATAAATGTAAAAAAGAAATTCCTAATGTCGACCCTTACCAAAGCAGGGTATCAAGTCAGTGCTTGTGCAAATTGAAAAATCCAGCACTGAATAAAATTATTCTGTTGTAAAGTATCAATCAGAAAATATTTTCAGTTTATAAACATATTTAAAAACATTGAAACCCAGCTAGGATTCAATAAAAATAGAATTCATTAAATTCTTTGTGAAATTGGTCGTTGTGAAAGTTAACCCATTTTCTGGTTTGAATATTAAATTACTAATCAGTGGAATGACTGTAGGTTGCTTAATAAGTATGTGGAGGCTTGACAAATAGATTTCTGAAGTTTCAGCAAAGTTAGGAGCTCAGACAATTCCAAACTAAATATCATGTTACCAGTGACTAAAAGATGAGTTATAGAATTTTTAGTAATGTAATGAATATTAAATGCTCTTTTTCAAAGCCTATTTGATTAACAAAACTTTTACTTATGTAAATTATTGGAATAAGGTGTGATTATTGATATGTAAATGTGTATTCAAACACTAAACGAACTGAATGCATTTGAATAGTGTGTATTATTTCTCTTGAGTTACAAATTGTTAAGAATAATTTTAAGAAATTGTATCAATCACAATTATGAATATTATACCACATTGTGAAATTATGTGAATTACAAGTATGAATATTACTGTCAAAATTCAAAATATAAACCAAAAACCTTTGACAAAAAGTAGAATCTTTTATTTCAATTATCATAGATTTTTAGGTTTACTAATTAATATTTTCAAGTCATTATTTTTTTATTCTTAACACATATTTAATCTTATACTTTATGAGTATAAAATTTTTATTTTGAAGTTTTGGAACTGTTTTAATTATTAGCTGATAGACAATAATGTTTAACACAAGAGTAAAAGATAAAGGAATACAAACTTTAAAAAAGCAATTGTAAAAAGTAAGTCCTCTTTTCAAGTCTATTTCAGGACTATTTTTTGCTTGTATGTTTTTTGATGGTATTTATTTATTTGTAAAAAAATTACCAGTTGTACCCAAATTTTATGAGAGATTATATTTCATTGCTCAGAAGCAAGCTAGAAATCTTGGTAAACTGGATAAAAATCCATGGTTGGATTAGTAAATATATAAACTAGTTTAGCTTGTGCCCGATGTTTTGTTTTTGAGGGGTGGAGAAAGAAAGAAAAGAAAGAAGAAGGAAATGGAAAATAAAAGGGGGGGGGGGGAGAAAAAAAAGTACATAAATACCCATGTTAAAATATTTTAATATTAATATTTTAAGACGAAAATGTTACAGTTTATTTTTCAAACATTTGTTAAATATTTATGAGTGGACTCCACAATTGTCATATCATGTCATGTCATGTTTAGGATCTCTTAAGATATTATCCAGCCTTCCAAATACATTTGAGAGGAAACTGATCCTTTAATTTTGTGATTTCAGCATGGTGAGAGTGAAATGAACCTCGAAGGTCGAATTGGGGGAGACTCAGACCTTTCCTACAGAGGAAAATTGTATGCAAACGCTTTGGCACAGTACATCCACCAGCATGACATCCCTAGCCTCCGAGTGTGGACTTCATGGCTGAAGCGCACCATACAGACTGTGACAACTATTCAAGCGCCTCAGGAACGTTGGAAGGCTCTTAATGAGATAGATGCTGTGAGTTCTCCCTGAATCTCTTGTATTTACATTTGCTATGGCTAAAAACCAAAATGTGGCTGAAGTATTTAAAACGTGACAGATGGTGTGAATAAAGCAGTAGGAATGATGATAAACAGATCGTTTCAGTTATCACCTAGCCATCATAGGGTGATGACTATAGTAAGGCAATTATCTAAGTGTGACATGTCATGTGTGATCATGAAGAGTATTTTGGCCTAAAAATGCATCGGAAATTATGCTTTGCACACACTCAAGGTTGTTTTAATGATGTATTTAACCTTAGAGCAGCCTAACTTGCTGTGTGATATATCTACTGTTCCTTGTCACCATAATGTACTTCACCCTTCCTAGCCACCTTATGGTGGTTGCTAGAGTCAGTTGGCTAGGGTGTACTGCATCTGGCTCTAGAAATGCAAAGTATGTTTCAAGTTGTTTGTATTTTCAGACTTCATCCATCCATTTTGTATAATGTGAAAATTAATTGGCTGAAGTGAAAAATAGCCAGATTGACAGCCCACTTAGAGAATTAGTCTGAAGTAAATAATTACAATTTCAGTAAAGAATTAAAATTCTCTCCTTGTACTGATAAAATGAGTATATTTATGTAGAATAATATAAACATAAGGATATTTTACTTTGGTTGGAAACCCTTCAGTGTGTAGAACACTCTGACTCTGTGTTTTTTCTTGACACTTAAAGATGTACATACTTTCTGTATTACTATATACCTTTCTTTCCTAGTCACCATTCTAAATGGTAGTTTTCTAAGGAACTAAAAGCATCAAACTTGGAGAGTTTTTATCACAATTAGCATTTTTCATCACAAAGTCTTAAGCATTTACTTTTAATTCCATAATATTCACTTCATACATTTTATGCTAAACTTAAACTCATTGCCTCTTTACAGGGTATATGTGAAGAAATGACCTACGAAGAGATAGCAGAGAAATATCCAGACGATTTTGCTGCAAGAGATCAGAGCAAATTCACTTACAGATACCCAAGAGGAGAGTCTTACGAAGATCTTGTAGCTCGGTTGGAACCGGTGATAATGGAGCTGGAGAGACAAGGCAATGTCTTGGTTGTGAGCCATCAGGCAGTTCTCAGATGCCTGCTGGCTTACTTCCTTGATAAATCTTCAGGTAATGATTATTGATATTGGACCACCATTCAGATTAAGAAATAAGCATGATGAAGCGTATTTGATAGCATGGGCCTTAGTTTAAAAGCATCATTTATAACGGTCTAACACAAGTGCATAAAAGATGTACTATTTCTTCTAAGGTCTTGTGGATATTTCACGATTTGTGTAATTAATGAACCACATTAGATTTAATGGTATGAAATCACTCAGTTAAAAATTACTAATGTCACATGAGCAGGAGCAAATTGAGAGCGATTCCGTGGGATTGTCCCTTCTACGTAGTTTAATTTTGCTTGCTGAAAATGTATTAATTTGTACATTCACATAATAAATATGTTGGACTTCATTTATGCTTCCCACCTTTGAAATATTTAAATCACCTAATCTAAATTAAGACAATTTGAAAAGGAAACTTTCCAAAAAGCATCTTAGGTTTTAGTTAAGCTGAGCTCCACAAGTGGCAATGGTTTTATTTCACTCGTTGATTCATCCTTGGATTGTGAATGTTCTCACTCTGGGGAAAATTGCCAATTTGCACTCTGTACCTCAATTCATCAATTGATCAATTGAGTGTTTAATGAAAAACACTAATATCTTACTTTAACATTTGTTGATTTGCTGCATTACAGATGAATTACCTTATCTACAAGTTCCATTGCACACAATTATTAAGCTGACACCTGTGGCTTATGGCTGTAAAGTGGAACATATCAAACTTCCCATCGAAGCTGTGGATACTCACAGACCAAAACCCAAGGTAAGGCAGCTAAAATACAAAATTGTTTTCTAAATATTATATCTTTGCCTATAAAAAATAAGAAAGGCCTTTAGACTTTGAATGTCATCCATCTTGATTATATTTTATAGACTTTGAGTGGCTTTTACTATGACAGATTTTTACCTATGTTTGATGTGAAAGAAAATTCATATTGATTTTTGAATTAAAAGCACTAACTTGATTTGAAACAGATTCTGGAGAATGTATTCAGATTTGTTTTGTGCGAGAGCAAGATTTTGAGCCTTATTACTTCTTTTATTTATGCCATTAATTGGATATGTAGTGTGCCATCATTACCATTAACACATCTTGACTTAAAAAAACATAATCAAAAGTGTCAATCACTTTCCTTTTCTGTTTCTTTTTAATATTGATAATTCTAACGGTAACTACAAAACTTTCATCCTTACTCTCTCTGCGGGTGAATCATGACATTAATGCTGGTTGTGAAAATTGTTAGAAATTTGTCTAAAACATTGTCATTTGAATTACATATCTCCATATTTTTCTATAAGCAAGAGGAAAAGTTAGTTTTTCGTTCCTATATTTTTCAGGAAGTGGAGCCACAACTCCACCGTGCTACGAAGGAAAATGGGACTCATGTTGAGGCTGTAAACTGACTTGTACAAAGTGATTTTAAGTACTAATTGTTAATTTATTGCAAAATGAATTTGTGCCATTACTAGCCTAGCAAAATCTTGTTTGACAACAATCAGCTCTTTTGTTGATCTTAATTATTATTTGGGTGCTGGTAGTGGATATGCCATGACTTACTTCTGATGATTTTTATGAAGTATAATATTTTAATGTAAAAGCTGGGAGTGCAATAAAGATTTCAACAGAAGCCGTTGTTTATAATGCTCCTTTCACTTTTTCCAACTAAGTTACGTAGTGGCATTTGTGGTGGATTTGTGGCTTGCATGTTGTCCTAGTATTTAACATTAACATTATTATTTGTGATTCTCTAATTGAATTTGTCCACAAAAATTTGATTTAATGTTAATTGCTTCATGTGCCTTGTAGCTTATGGGATGAAACATTGGGGAATTGATAGAAAATCATAATTGTTTGCAATACACTGATGTCCAGAACCTCTACACACAGATGTATTTCCTACATTGCCTTCTTGATTAATAACTATCTGTTCTCGTTCTGTTCATGTCTTAAACTTGCTAATCAATACAAATGTGATCTAAGTGAATCCTTATAGTTTGTTTAGTATATTGGAGCATTGGCATTTAGAATCTCTCTTCTTATTCTTTTAACGTTTTGGACTTTTTTCTTGAACTTTCTTTGTATTCTAAATGGTCTGAAACATTGGATTATTGTATCTTGATGGGAAATTGGCAATGTTTAGTTTTCGTCAATCTTTCCAAATTTAATGTTTAAAGAAAAACGTCAGTTTGCAGATAGTTCTCACTTGATAACTGAATCAATTTCCACTTTTTTTCCTATGAATAATGTACAAAATTTGAGCTCTTTAGAGGAAGAATTATTTTTTATCATAAACTAACCATAACTGATCAAAATTATGTTTATGTCAGAAACCTAGAAATTGTATTGAATTAGTACCCTTCATTTGGAAATTAGTATTAATATCATAGTCTTCATTGGTGGTGACTTCATTGAAATTGGTGTTCATATTAATCATATGGACTTCTTCTACCAATTGCATTCGGTAAACAGTGGGCAAAATTTTCTGTCTGAAATATCTCCAATTTAATTAGTGGAAATTGATGTGTACCACTAGTTAACAAGAATCAAATTTTAGTTTTTAAATTTGATAATTTATTATATTTATCAAAATACTGTTAATTCTATTAATTTTCTTCTATCATTATTTGCTTTGAGTTTTCTCTGAAATTTCTTCAAACTAATTTGAAGATTCAGTATAATCGGACAATAAAGTGAAAACATAATTAGAACGAATTGTGTTTCACTGCGTTGACTGTGTTGTATTGTTCTGAACTGATGTCTTTACCTATTCTTTGTTTTTTCATCTTCCACTTTTGCATTTTATGCTTTCATTCTGAAATAATGGTTTTGGCAGACTTATGCATGTTTCAAAGCACATTTTCATTGCAAGGCTAAAAATTTATTATATAGTGTTTCCAAACACTAGAATAAAAATGGTAAGCATGTGGTTCATTTATTATGCTTAATAAGTAGTTTGCATTGTGTATTTTGGATGTATTGTATTGTAAGAAATTTGTCACCTTTGTGTACAGATACCGGGCACTCTGGATGAAAAATTTAAGCGGAAGAATCTGGCCACCATTGTGAAAGTGGATGTGAAGGACAAGTCTTGATGAAAGCTCCCAGAATTAGCCTGGCCATCAATTGGGACTGCCAGGGATACAAAGGGAATGGGGATGTGATTATCTGGTGCTATTTGAATCAGTAAGAACATTCAGCACGAAATGTTCCATGGGAACAGTATCGCTTGAAGAGAGTATGTCTTGTCAATTTTACACTTCTTTGTCGAGAAAAAAGTTTTGGATTTCCTATAATTACAGTGGAAGAACATTTATTATAGTTTTATGTTTTTGACATCACATGTTTGAAATAGATGCAATTTTTAATTTTAATTCTTTGAGATAGTAAAATTCAATATATAAAATGGAACAAAAATTGACCATTGTAAAATTTCAGTCAATAACAATGTTTGTATTATTGTTTGGTAAATTTGTAATAATGTTTCCAATTCCCTTTGTATTCATGGTAGTTTGCATATAAAGACATTTTAAGTTGTTCCTGTACAGTTAATGTGCACTTTTGTTTATTAGATTTTGCCAAGTTTTTTTGGCCTCAATTATGTATATTGCTAGAAGGTAGTGGGAAAAGTATAAAAAAATTGAATTCTGCTGGAATAATACTTTAGTTTGTTTGTAATTTAGAAAATTATTGATAACTATCAGTATAATTTGCTGTTACAACATGGAATGAATGTGCTTCTCTGTGATCCCATCCCAGTGCATTCTGTGGGTATATTAAAAGTGGTTGCTAATTGCATGTATTCTTAACCATTACAGTTTGGCAGATAGTGACAGTTGATGTTCTCATAAATGAGACCCAAGTTAGGTCTCAAGTATTTCATAGGGTGTCACGCATTTATAATCATGTGTGTTTTCCTTCCCATTAAAAGATAAATTACGATATAAAAATGACAATTAAATGTGAATTAACATAGTATATCAAATTAGGTGTTGTCAATACAAGAATCATGATTGTCTGTCACTTTAAACACGATGATAATTGTTATCATTACATCTGCTTAGTGATCATGATGACATTTGAAAATAATTGTCACCTGATGTAAAATATGTGTCTTTTGCAACCCACATGCCAATACTCGTATCAGAACCTGGTGATGTACTTTATTATTGCTGTAGTAAAAAAATGTTTAGGGTACTGAAATAACTTCCTATTCATCTACATGTGAATGTCAGTATATTGTTGTTTTGCAGTGAAGATGTTTGATTCTGTTAAAGACATTTAATGTTTAGAAATTTGATTTATGAAGTAGAAATCATATAGTAAGAGATTCTACTTAGTCTATGTGTTATTATCATTAAAATTTTTCTTTACAACATATTTTGTATGGTCTTTAGAATGTGGTGTGAACCCAAAATTATTTTCTGTGGGTTTTTTCAATTTTATTTTTCTGATAATAAATAATTTTATCATATTTAATATTGGTATGTAAGAAAATTTAGGAGGTTAAAGAATTGTGAAAGGAAAATATTTAATATTACCTTCTCTGTGGAAAAAAGGATGTTGCATGCAAATGTTCAGATTGTATCTGCAACATTTGAATTGTTGATAGAAATGTGTGCATGTCAAGAATATTAAATGTGTCTGCCTACTCTTATAATTACATGTTAACTGTAATGCTCTAAATGTGAATTATAGATTTATATTTGTTAAAGAACTACTTGTTTTTATACCATTTATTCCCTTTAATGACTCGTGGACCTGAATTACTATTTCATTTACAAACAAACAAAATGATGATCCATTCTGTTATACATTGCCATCATCTTCACTAATTAGCCTGCAAATCATTCTAAAGAATTCTCCACCAGACATTTTCCATCTTGATAATTTTATAATTTCATGTATTTTCTTTCTAGTCTCAAGGTACTAAATGATGGTGAAGGCCTGTCTCAACAATACAAATTAAGGAATTACTTTGAGCTAGAAGTCCAACTGAAATTTTACTTAAAGGAAGAGCCAGATTAATATCTTAGAGAGGCTCTAAGCATGATAAACCAATAGTAGTAGTAGTAGTAGTAGTAGTAGTAGTAACAACACATAGATCGCATGCGATCCTTGGTGATCCTAAGAGGATATTCAAAACAGTTGATTGACACTCTCTCTCCAAAACATCTCTTCTGATTTGCTGTCACCTCCTTTACAAGTTTTTTCCATTGTATTCTATCTTGCACTGTACTCATTGCTTCTGTCCACGTCAGATTAATTGATTTTTTGATTTCCTCATGCCATCTCATTTTCTGGCTTCCCTGGTTTGGGATTCTGTCCATTATTCCAAGCATCATGTCTTTCTCCAAGGAGTACGATGTTCTTGCAATATGACTAAAGCATGAGAGTTTTTGTTTTGAGGGCTCTGGCTTCTAATGAGCATTTGGGCTTCGCTTCTTCTAATATGGATTTACTTGTTCTTTTATCTGTCCAACGGACTGTCAGCAGTTTACTCTAGCACCACATTTCAAAAGCACCTTTTTTACTCCTATCAATGGATTGTTAAGTCCAACCTTCACATTTATAAAGTACAACAGGTAATATAACACCTTGTTGAAGCAATATAGACCTAATATCAGAGACGGAGTGGAAAAAACACTATACAAAATTGTGTAACAAAGACAACCACATATCAAACATAAACACGACTGCAGATTTGGGGAAAGTAGAAGATGTAACAATAGAAGAACTTGAACAAGTACTTAAAAAAGCTAAAAGCAGAAGAAGTCCTGGAATAGAAGAAATTAACACAGAAGTTATCAAATATGGAGATAAAGGACTAAAAGTTGTTTTGTCCTTTGTGATTGCACTATTTAACAAAATATGAACAGAGAATCTTACCCCAACAGAATGCCAAAAAGGTTTGGTGACAAATATACATGAAGGACCAAAACTAGACTGCAACATTTACAGAGAGAGAATGCTACTACCAACCACCTCAAAATTGTTTGCTAACATGAATAGAATGAGTGAGTATAGTGAAAACTTCATGGACGAAGAACAATGTGGATTCAGAAAGGGCAGGAGTACAAAAAATATTATATTCACAGTACATATTTTATTAAACAAAAGAAACGAAAGAAACTTACCAACATATATCTGATATTCATAGACTTTTGAAAAGGCATATGATACAGGGAACAGGGTTAAACTGTAAAATATTAAAAATTGGAATACCAGAAAAAAATCATCAATGGAATAAAACCACTCTAATTGGACTCAAAAATAGCAATAAAAATTAATAATGGGACCATCACAAAATCACTTTACACAAATGGTGGACTGAGGCAGGTGTGGCCTATTACCCAACCTTTACAATATTTATGCCAATAGTCATCAAAGAATGGAAAGAAGTCAGTAAATGAAGGTATACAACTTAACATAAAACAGACTATACAAACAGTCCTGTTTGCAAATGACCAAATAATTTTGGCTGAATCAGAAGATTAACTCCAAATAACAACACATGAACTGAATAAACTAGCAAAGACCTATAACATGGAAATCTCCACAAAAAACAAACAACCCAAAAACAATGACATTCCAAAAGGAAAGGAACTAAGAAGAATGAAGATAGTAATTGAAGGGGAAATAGTAGAGCAAATATCAGCATTCAAATATTTAGGCAATAACATTGGACTAAACTCTCAGGTCCTCCAACTCAAAATTTTGAAATATAATAGAATAAATGGAATAATTAAAAGACACTTTGGGAAGGATATGACGCAAGAAACCAAATTAAAAATATACAATGTGACAGCCAAACTAGTGCTCGTATATGGATCAGAAACCTGGATCCTAAAACTGAGAGAATCAAAGACTGGAAGCATCTCAAACGAGACACCTTGAACATACTTGGCTGGATTGACAGAGAAATAAAAACATAAGGAAAAGATTGAAGACGACAAACAGAACCGAGGAATTAAAAAGAATCAGAAAAAGTAGCTAGAACACATTAAAAGAATTAAGGGAGAAAGATACCCAAATGCTCCCCTAAAATACAAGTCTCTAGGACAAAGAGATATAGGAAGACCAAGAAAGAAGTGGATCATGCAGAAACACTGGAAGACTGAAGTATTTTAGCTCTACTGCTTAACAAGCAAAAGACCCCCCCCCCTTGGCCTTTCATTCTGCAGTTCAAGACGGTGATGATGTTGAAGCAAGGAGCCTCCTAATAATTTTAAAATATTGAACTTAACTAATTAAAATTAGTATAAAAACAAAATTATAATCTTTGCAAAGTTCTGTTAGAATAAATACATTATAAACACACATATAAGAACTAATTATGATAATTATGGTGTTTTCTTTTAATCTCAACATAGTGTTAAAGGTGTGGAAGAATTACTGGAAAGATAAAAATCATGTTGAAAGACTATGTGCCCATGGACTATGTACCATACATGACTGATCACGATTTGGTAATTTTCTCCAGAGGAGGACCTTCAAAACTCCAAGTAGAGATGAGTTAAAGAATGAATAAGTGAAGACCATCTTCACGTAGGCAACACAGTCTGAATGTACACTAAGAATACTCTCAAGAATGTTTTCTTGACTAATAACCTAGATTTGAATGTTTCAAAGTGTGGAAATCATAAATGAGGCATGTATTGTGGATTAAGTATATTTCAGGCAAAGAAATTAATACCTTTCCAACAAGAGACTTCAAACCCTCTCTTGAAGGGGACAACCCTCAATTTGCACCCTAATATTCAGGGGCACCCAGAAAGAATAAGAAGCCTGGGGCCCTAGATCCACAGTGGTCCTTTATTTCAAATAATTTTTTCTCTCATAACTACCTTAAAGTTAGTTACATTTTAACTACCGTCAAGTACACATTATTTTTCTTCAATTTATTTTTATTTGTACACATTTTTATAATTATATTTTAAATAGTTTTCTTAAAAAAATGATTAAGAATTATGATAAAATATACTTACTGCATTACTTTTCATTTAGAAGTTGATGCTGAAATCTTCTTCCTTGTACATCAGTAACAATTTGTGTGAATTAGAAGTAAATACATTTTGAATGAAAAATAAATTTTGAGGCCTTGGGCAAGTTGCCCCAACTACTCCGCTCTTGGGGTGCCCATGCTAATCTATAATACAACTTTAGAGGATCAACACTTTTGGTTTGTACATCTGGACGAAACTATCTACTCAAATTATAGTCTCTTTAACATTGTACATCTTGATTTGATTGAAGGTAAGAAATTACTTGTGAAAAAAATCTATCAAACAGAATTATAGTGATTTTAAATTGACTGTTTAGTGATTCTTTGACCATTTGGAATTTTCTAGTAATTATTAAAGCCCAAAAGTTCAGGCATTTATTTTACCTAAAATAGATATGCAAAAAGACATGTATTTTTATGAAAATTGGCATTCAAAAAGGCATTTCAAGCTCAAGTAAGAGTGCAAAAAAGCAAGTAAACAATGCAAAATGTCATTCAAAAGGGATTATTCTAAATAATTATTAATTAAAATGAATCATATTTTTATCCTAACTCTAAAAATTACATTTGCCAGAATGTGTAAGGAAACAATCTTATCTTTGTAATCTTTTTTTTTTTTTTTTTTTTTTTTTTTTTTTTTTTTTTTTTTTTTTTTTTTTTTTTTTTTTTTGCCTTTTTTACAGTTGCATATTTTTTACTGTTTTGAAAATATCTGGAAATATTCCTGTGCATAAAGAAGCATTGAAACTGTGAGTTAACGGGTGTATAAAGGCAGGTGCACAAGTTTTTAATAAATAATTCGAAAATTCATCCAAACCAGATGAATATTTACTTTTTAGTTTACTGATTATTCTAAGGATTTCAATGCAAAAAGTTTTGGAAATAAATATCATTACGAAAATTTTTTGGGAAGTGAATGAAGTTGAATTTTGTGGGTTTTGATCCTTCATGAGTTCAGCTGCAATTCTAGAAAAGTGTTGGTTGAAGAGATTGGCCACTTTTTGTACATTACTTGCTTCTCTTTCATTGATCTTTAAAACAACATTCTTTACTAAGTATCAAGATGATGAGGTTGAATTTGTTACGATTTTCCACATTGCTTTAGTTTTGCTCCTAGCATTTTAAATATCCTCATTACATTTCATTCTTTTTATTTCAACTGTTACTTTCCTTAAAATTATATTGTGTTTTCAGAAGTAGACAAGGAAACTGGGTGATACATTATGATTATCAGAAATAAAGCATACGTTTATTTTTGCACAATGTTGTAATTCCTTGTGTGATTCAAGTACTACTTTTTTATGAAATATTAATATTCTTTTTTTTTTTTAGGAAAGATCACAAGTGAAATGAATGCTTTTAGAAAAATAAATTATGTTTTTCATTTGTGACAACAGCATTATAAACTGTGTCCCATGGTACCTGCAGTAACTAGTTTGAAAATAATTTTATGTCAGCTTTAATGAATACTCTGCACATGTGTATATTATTTATTGTGTCAGTGTTCATGTTATTGAGAATTATAAGAATTTGTTCATCATGATCACTGTGACCTCGAACCTTTATTATTATTCCATATCCTATTGTAACTATGATTTGGTCTATTGCTTTTTGTAATTTAAATGCATTCTATGTAGTTACATTTATTGTAATAGTTAACTTTAAAAAATGAAGTAAATTGAGAAGCTGTTTCTTTTTTCATGGGTTTTACCC